AAAAAAGGTTTGGATCATCCATATTTCACATCTTTTAATAAGTGGCGTTTATTTAAGCCAAAAAACTAACATGATAATTAATATATAATTCCGCTAACACGTCATACTAATATTTATTTGATTTTAGAATACATATTTATTCATTAATATAAGAAAAAATAAAAATTTTATTTATTATTGTTCACCATATAATACTCAATTATTATTTTATTTATTATAAAATTTATAGTCATATAATGTCATTATTATTACTTATAAAAGTTATAAAAGTAGTCTTCTTTATGTAATGAAATTCAAAATAAATTATTGAGTATAAATGTTTACAAAATACACATACATGTTTTTTAGAATTCAATTTTCTCATAATAATTTTTTTTTTAAAAAATAATTTAGTAATTGCCAAAAAATAAATTCTTTACATAATAAAGAGAGTTTTTCTAATTTTCATCCTAAGGCTTTATAGTTTATTTAACATATTATGCAATAGAAAAATATTTTACAATAAGTTCATTTTTTAAACATAACAAAAAAAAAGTGATAAAAACACTATCATAGTTGACAATAATATACAAATAAGTAACATGTCAAAATTTTAAAGAAAAATTAATATAATTTTATTATCTAACCATCAATAAAATCATTTAATGATGAGATCATTATCTTCCAAATGATAAATAATATTATTTTTTTAAGAAAATATTAGTTTTATATAATTAAATAAAGGTTAAAAAATATTACTCGACAAATATTAATTATAATAGATATCAATAAAATCATTGCATAAATTATTTAAGGAAAAAATCTTTAAGATCATATATGGATAGTAAATGTAAATATGCAAGCATTTAATGCATATAGTAAAAAATTTTCAAATAAGGTATGCATTAAATGTGTGTTGACTTTTCTTGCTACTATTTTGGGTAAATAGGTTGACTTTTAATATATATATATAGAGATATATAGATTAGCTTTTAAAATATATTTATAGTTTAAATGGGTAAATATTTTTTCAAAAGTTAAAAGTTTTTGACAGGAGTCAAGATCTAATTCTAATACTCTATAATTAAGTTGGAATGAAGTGGTAAATAGCTTGATGTCGCTTAAGCAAGGTCTCGAGTTTGAGTCCCTGTGGATGCATAAAATCCTTGTGGGGAGACTCATCCACCACTGTCAGGTGTGCGATCTGGATCGACCAACGGATTAGTCGGGGCATAGCTCTAGATATCGTGGCCGGCTAAAAAAAAAATAAAAAATTGGTGAATGTATTTATTTATAATAAATATAAAAGTTCTTGGACACGAATTGATTGGAAATTATGAATAGCAAAAAAGAATGAAAACAAAATATGTCACTGCTGTGAATTTTCCCACCATTTTTCTATGAGAAGGCCAGTGCTCATAACGTCACGTCAAAGCATCTTCACCCACAGATTTCTTCCTTCGACCCAAAAGCTTCTCTTCTCAGCCACCTCCAATGGCGAAAACGTCAAAAACCACCGCCGCGCCGCCACGCTACCCGACCCCGCGAACATTACGTCACTCGACGGGGCAAAATCTTTTCACGCTCTCGTCACCAAAATGGGTTCATTCCCAAATCAAGAACCCGTTTTCATTCACAACAATATCGTCTCCAAATACGCATCCCTCGGCGAGATCGATATGGCCCGCAAGATGTTCGACGGAATGCCGCAAACAAACACCGTCTCCTATAATACCATGATAGGCTGCTACGGTCGGGCCGGGTTCGTGCACGAGAGTCTCGAACTGTTCTCCGCCATGCGGAAATGCGATTTTGAGCCCACGCAGTTCACTTTCGGTGGTCTTTTATCGTGCCATGAGCTGGGGGTATTCGAAGGAAAACAGCTGCACGGGTTGATGGAAAAAACAGGGGTACTTTATGTTGACGCATTTGCTGGGACTGCACTGTTGGGAATGTACGGTAGGCATAGTTGTTTGGACGAATGTGTTAGGATATTCGAGTCCATGCCCGTAAAGAACTCGGTGACCTGGAACATCATGATATCTGTATTTGGTCAGATGGGTTATGTGAAAGATTGCATTTTTATGTTATCCGAGCTGATGACGGAACCGAGTAGGGTATCTGAACTCACTTTTGTGAGTGTTTTATCGAGTCTTGATGAAGTTAGCTTGCAATTGGGCGAGCAAACGCACGGCTTGGTGATCAAATATGAGTTTGATAATGTAGCCTCGGTGTGCAATTGTCTGATTAATATGTATGCAAAGTGTGGGGCCACGTGCTCGGCGGAGAAAATGTTTAGGCATGCTCGTGTTAAGGATATCGTGACATGGAACACTCTGATTGGTGCAGTGGCAAATGGTGATACGCCGGTCAGAGCACTTGATTTTTTCTGCAAAATGTGTTTGAGTGGATTATTGCCTAACGGGGCAACATTTGCGAATTTGCTGAGTTCTTGCTTGAGGCTGAACAATTTTTCATACGGGAAATGCATCCATGCGAAGGTGATAAAGCATGGCTTCGAGTCTGACGTGTATAACGGGACTGCTTTGGTTACTTTCTATGCAAAATGCAATCAAATTCGAGAGGCACACGCTTGTTTCGAAGCCATCAAGTGTAAAAACTCAGTCTCTTGGAATTCTTTGATGCTGGGGTATTCAAAGTCGGGCTCTTCTTCTGTCGGGCTTCTTCACGAGATGATCTGCTCGGGTTTTTACCCAGACGCACTGTCGTTTTCCATCGTTATCAAGTCATCGTCAACACGAGAGTTGCCGCAGCTTCATTCGCTGGCGACAAAAATGGGATACCACGAGAACCCATACGTGTCGAGTTGCCTCATAAGCTCTTACGCCAAAAACAACATGGTCTTGGATGCTTTGGTCTTTGTCGGTCCCGATACGCCCGGGCTTAGTGTCGTTTGTTCGAATATTTTAGCGTGGATTTATAACCGAACAGGACAGTATGACAGAACTCAGGAACTTTACGCCTCGATGGAGAATCCAGACTCCATGTCTTGGAACATCTTGATCGCGGCTTGTTCTCGAAACGGAGATTATAAGGAGACTTTCGAACTCTTCGATCACATGCGTAGATCGAGAATCTATCCGGACAATTACACATTCGCGAGTCTCTTCAGTGTCTGCACTAGCTTGTGTAACCTTGCTCTCGGCAAATCCCTTCACGCTCTTCTTGTGAAGACTGATTTTAAAACCTGTGACGTTTTAGTCTGCAACATCATGATCGACATGTACGGGAAATGCGGCTGCGTAAAGAGCTCGATTATGATATTCGATGAGATGGGAGAAAAGAATGTCATTTCGTGGACGGCTCTGGTTTCGAGCCTTGGGCTACATGGCTATGCGAACGAGGCATTAGGAAGATTTAAGGAGATGGTTGAGATTGGGATTAAACCGGATAGAGTTGCTTTTCTGGCCATTCTTTCTGCGTGTAGACATGTTGGGTTGGCGGATGAAGGAATGGAGTTATTCGGGGAGATGAAGGTTAAGTATGATGTTGAACCGGATATAGATCATTATCTTGTAGCCATCGATTTATTGACGAGACACGGGCGTATTAAAGAAGCCGAGCGGCTAATCTTGGGAATGCCGATGGCTCCAAATGCACAGATATGGCGGAGTTTCCTTGATGGCTGTAAGAGACAGACGAGAAGTCTTGCGATGGCGCATGAATCCTAGATTTTTTGAGCTAGAAAATGTATATCCTAAGCTGATGGGTCTCTGCTTGGGTTGTTTGGATAAGAAAAATTCAACCAATGAGTAAATTTTGAGAATAATCTATAACTGATAAGTAAATTTCGAGAAGGAAATTATGCTATTTAATTATAAGTAAACTTACATGTTAAATTTGTTTAAAAGTTGTTTATTATTATTTCACTTTCTACTACGTTAATTTTGATGAGTACATTTTGAAGTAACATGCATTTGTTAGATGAACTCTATTGAGTAATTTATTAATGCATTAAAGGTAGCATGTATTGATGTGCCGAGGATTCGAGTTGAGTATGAATCAGCAAGCGAGAGCTTGGTTGTCCCTGAACAGCTGCTACCTGCAAAAAGTGCCGGGATGAGTTCCCAACGTTAGCACTCCGATGCTTACGCTAAAAAGCTGAAGGAAATAAGCTCAGTAAATAGAGTATTCATAAATCATAATGTAGTATAGAGTGTAGAAGAAGGCTTGCAATTGGACCTCACCTCCCTTTTATAGGGAACTACCTACCCGTCTGCCCATTGTCAGCCTGTCCGGCTACCCGGATTTGATCTTTTAAACTTAGTGTTTATCCTCATCCTAATCATTTTTTAAGTCACCATTAGATTCTTTTTTTTTTTTCTTAACATTCTTTCTTATCCCTTGCGAGTCAGTTGGTAATGTCTCTTAGGTAGTCTAACTTGGATCTCAACCGTCACAGTCAAGTCGTCTCATGTCCCTTAGATGCTTAGGTCATCCAAGGGCTTCCACGACGCCATGGTGATCTTCGGGTTATTGGGAATTGATGACTTCCACGACCACTAGGTCGTCCAACGAGGGTAAGTCGTCTTTGGTTCACCCATTCGACCTCTCAGTACTTAGTGTGATTCCAGTTGGCCTAGTCATATCTATATCATATATCTTGTTAGGTAAATTTTGAGAACTTATAATACCTTTATTTTACGCATACATTGATAAAGTATCGATTAAATTATTTGTGTATTTATTTTCTTTTAAAAAAAAATACCTAAATTGGAACCCTTAAATGTTGTTTAGAATGTGCAAGGTGATTGTTTAATTTATAGACATGCTCCCTTACCACGGTGGGTACATGTTAATATGCCCACCGCGTAGGTGGCATGCACTCATTGATGATGTATTTTTCTATTCATATTAACATCACCAATGAATGTATGTCACCTACGCGGTGGGCATATTAACATGTGCCCACCGTGGATAGGTGAACATTTCTCGTTTAATTTAACAGTTTTAAGGTTATTCTCGGTTTATAACTCGCAGCTACCTGTAAGAATGTCTATTACCATTCTCAGTCCTCAGACAGCTTTAGCTTAAAGTATTCTCTATACAACTAAAGAATGCAAAAAGAATGCAAAATGAGAACGAACTGACAAAAGCTGACCAAAGTGAAGTTAAACACAAAGTTATCTTATTCTTGTGCAAGATAAAAGTGTTCATGTATTCATTTCACATACTGTATCCTCATACTTTTCCTCTTCTTTGAGTCATATAACTCGCTATACAACGTCAATGTCGACACACATCAATCGCCAGTTACAAGTGCCTCAAAGCTCACACTTTGCGTATTGCATTTAAAGGTTCCCTTAATTTGCTATTGGGCAGTGAATAGATCGGTCTTTCGGCCATCCGAATTCATCCAAGAATGCTAATACAACTCCATTCGACCACCCGAATCCCGTCTGCTCGGCAAAATACGAAAAGAAAAGAAAAAGATTATTAAGTATCAGCCAAGAATAGCATTGAATTGTACGGTCAATAAGTATCCACATCACTTACTTGGGTTACATATTCACCGCCCCCGCCAGAACCTCCACACGTTTCTACATCGTACTTTTCTAGCATTACGCCCGTTTTATTGTAAGTCGCGTAGTTTGTCCTAATCCACTTCACGACAATATCTTCTGCAACTTCTTTTGCGTCTTTCGACTCGGACTTCATGAGCCCATGGACAATCATGTATTGGATTGGTGCCCATCCGTTGGGATAATCCCTGAAAGAGATATCAGTCATTCACTATTATTAACTATTGAAGTCCACAAATGAGGTAAATATATGCTTTCACTAACCATTGTTGTCCAGAGTTATTTAAAGAAGTTGCAATTCCGGCCGGACGAATCAGACCAGATTTAAGGAGGCTATGTACAACTTCATCCACTAGCTTAACATCTTTGCGCATGCAAAAGGCAAAAGCATTTTCCTTAAACTTATGAAGACGCGAAAAAAGTTTACAATACACGAGCATATGAGAGAGCGAAAGCACAAACCTGAATTAAACGCATGAATCCATAAGGGAATGAAGTTTGAGGCAAATATTTCCATATTCTGACTTGATGGATTAAAAGTATAAACCCCCTTAAGCCAAAGACAAACATCAGGAACAAAGGAAACTAATTTTATTTCAACGTTAGTGAATGATAAAGCTAAAGCTAAGAGGTAAGATATCATACCTCACACAAATCAAAATCGCTCAACCAGTAATCGAACCACTGCTTCCTTTTTTTATTCCATAAAATAGAATTTATGGCATTTTTTCTAGCCTTGGAAGCTTCTTGAAAGCGTTGGGCTTCTGCAGGATCTCCAATCGCATCTGACAAATAGGTTATGTCGAGTTCCATCTGCACCGAAAGGGTAGCATAGTACAAGCATTGTGCATGATAGAAAGCAAGTTATAAGATCAAAAGATAGGCACAATTGCATCTAAACCCAGAAAATAGAGTAGTTTTCTTAACGTTACCTTCAGAATAAATGCATTCAAGTCCACAGGTAAAATTGATGTTGTAGCTAATGTTGTCAGATCATTCTTTACCCTGAAAATTTGCATGAGAATCATCACTTCAATATCCGATATTGGTGACAAAATCGGACAAAACACAGACTGGCTTGGGTTTGATCCAGAAATAGTTGTGTCAGCATTTTGTGCATAATTAATTTAGAGTTTTTAATCCCGGAAAACCTTGATAAGTGGATCTTACTAAGATATTCAACAAAATCATATCACAAGTAGTCAATCTACTAAGAGTATGTTCTTACCAGCCGGAAATTGGTCAAATACAAGACAATACTATCACAAAAGTAGCAAATATTTGTCAGAGAAAATAACATAATCTTTGAAAAGAAGATATATAATAATTAAAAAAAAAAAGAGTAACCTCATCCATCTGCTACTAAAATCCCATCCAGTCTCAGCAGTAGTAGCAATTTCACGATATAATTTGGCTTTACATTTGTTTGGGACCTTGGAAGCTGTTTCCTTATCCTGCAAGTATGAATTTTTATTCTTTAATTCCTCTTGTAGTTATCAATCTTAATCCTGGAAAGTAGGATCAATTTCAAAACTCCATACAATAGTGTATGATTCTGGCCTTGGTTGATTCCAACTGGCGTAATATCGGCTTAAGCTTTGATTTGAACCTTTCGAATCCCGAACAATCACATTATGAACCCCTTCAAGAATGAAATCCCGAACAGTCATCCAGTAAAGTGAGCAAAAATTTCAACATTATATAAACAGTATGGAAAAATAACCCATCAAAAGTTTCCATTGAAAACCTGAAGTCCAGAATTCATACTCCTTCAATAATGCAGGGAGCGCAAATTTAACAAACTCCAAGTCGTGAGTCTCATTGTATATGTCCACAACCATTGAACTCAGCAATGGAGGTTGGCTGCGCACAGGTGCAATGAAATTTGTTGTCAAGGCTTAACAAGAAACTACTATCAATCTGATGAGCATTCGAGTATCAAAAACATTTCATGACTTTTCATTCTGTACTTACGGGATTAACCAAAGTTCTGTTAAGAAACCATTGAACCACAGCCTTATAAGCAATCGTAGTAAAAATCATATCTTGGAATAAAGCATGGATTTTCCTTTAACTATTATATATAGAAAAAGAAAAAGTCAGAAAGAACAGTTTCAAAATCAAGCATTGCTGGCATACCCAAAAGCAATTACCTCCTGTTCGTGTAATATTTCCTAGCACCATTAAGAACATAGCCGAATTCATGAACAAGGGAAATGAGATTAGATACAATCCCTTTTGCCGTCTCAACCATTTTACTCGCTAACAATCCCCTGCATCAAAGTAATTCCTCTTTCAGTATCTGATGCAAAAGGGAAATACAAAAGCAAGACAGATCCAACAAGTCATCAACTACAACAGTCGATCTTTACCTTATTCATTCTTTCCACAAGCACAAGTGACTCATATATGATATGACATCTAGTATAGTGAAGATACCAATAGGCTAATAAAATGACAGAACAAATGGGGCTGAAGATGGAACAAAACTTCCTATTCTTATCAACTTTTATTGTCAATTTCATCACGTCGAAACTCATTCTTAAGTATACAGTATATACATCTTGTAGTACACTCTAAACCAGCTCAAATCAACAGTAAAATTTATGAACACACGAGCAAACAACATTCACCAAACAAATGAATAGTTACACATTAAGCAGTTCAATTTTAGTTCACAAAATCAAGAAATAAGGAAGAAGAATAAGAAGAAGACGAACTTGTTAACAAAAAACGTGTCCCAATAATAAACCTCTCGGAACCTCGAACCGGGTATTACGACCGAGTGATTCAACGGCAGCAGAGTATGGAAATCGGGTTGCTCAAGAACCTTACTTGAAACCTTCCTGCTCAAATTCTTCCACAGCTTATGCACCTCCAAACCCCAAACCCTCACCTCCCGGCTCTCCACACCAGGCAAAAAGTGTTCGGGCACATCCTTAAAGTCCGGCGGAACCACGGCCACCAAATCCGCCTCTGCGTCATCCAAATACTGCTTCAGAAAACCCTTCAGCACCTCATCGGAAACCGGCCCGTTTTGGGCGAGACTGTCGAAGGCATCGTGTGTGGTCGAGAGGTTGGACTTGAGCGGCATGTCCACGTACAGCTTCGGGTCGAACCCTTTAGGCCCGGAAGTCTTTAGGGCCGTCTCTTGAACCTTCTCGAGAAAGGAGACGAGAGGGGTGGTGGGGACCACAGGGCCCGAATCTTCACATGGGTTTTTCGCTGCGCTCGAGGATGTGTGGTAATTGCTCATTATGAAGATGATGATGGTCAATAGGGTCGGGATTGTTAAATTGGAGGGTCTTGCGGCCATATTCCGGTGAGGGGTGCAGCTGATGATGACAGCTTAATCGGTGATAGCATTGTGAGTGTGAGTGTATATGAGTGTATATATATATATGTGAGTGTACAGACGACGGTTTATGGGATTGTTCGCCGCCGGGGAAGACAATTGACTTTGCAGTGTCGGAGAATCAAAAGAATGAAGAAGACCTCTGAGTCTTTAGATAATATGCCCCTCTTACGGCGATAATTACGCTGCTTTGTGATTTTTTTTTATTTGTTTTTTCAAACGATAGGATTCATTTATAAAACACATAATTACAACCAGCTCACTAACCGGAATAGTAGGAAGACTAATCAAGGCAGCCTAAATACCACAAGACACACTACAGTACTAAACAAAAAAAAAATAAAAACTTACACAAACTCCCCACAAGAGAATACACAAGTTCCTCAAGTTAGAATGCACAAACTCCAAACACGCTCGCCACAAAACAACACACCAACAAAAAACACTACAACGAAAACAAAACTAAACAAAGCAACTAAAATGACAAAACTAAGCAAGCTACGAGAATTAAGCCCTCCTCTACAGTTGACAAGGAAATCTGCAATCTGCCACGCCACCAACCACCTAGAGCGTAGGGTTGTTCAATCGGTCGATATCGAACCGAACCAACCGAAATTTTGGTTAACCAAAATTTTCGTTTACCCAACCTTCAAACCGAAAACCGAACCAAACTTTATGATTCGGTTCGGTTTTTAACCGAAAATTTATCAGTTGGATCGATTCGGTTATCAGTTATCCGAAAAATTGGAGAAATGAAAAAATAAATAAAAATCTTTAGTTACAATTTCAACAAATCACAGCTCTGATTTTAGCAAATCTCATCCAATTAATAGAAAAAATAAAATAAAATATTCAAGAGGTAAAAGACGAAAGAGGTAAATTGATTTTGGCTTGAGTGCTTGAATTGATTCAATTGAGTGCAACCCGAAGGAGAGGATCTGGGTGCCAATCTTATTTGAGAAAATGAGGTTCGTCGAGTGCCGGCTGGAGTTTATGCGGGAGCCCGGCGGTGATTTGGAGTTTCATAGCACAGTGCCCGGCAATCGGAGAATTGGAGTGCGCAATTGCGTGCGGCCGACGGCGGAGATGATGTTAGGGTTTACTAGATTTCAACTTTTCTTTTAGATATCAAATCTGTGGCCTGGACTTTGGAGAAAGAGAGAGACAGTCGACATAGAAGATGAGGAGAGGAGATGATGATGACGACTACGACGAGGAGAAAAAATAATGGGCTTATATTTTCTATGTAAGTAATTGGTAATATATGAAAACATTGAGTTGGGTCTGTTTGTACTTTTTTTTTTTTTTTTGAATAGTTTTTATTATAATGGGCCTAATAAGTAAAAATATGGGCTTGAGTAACATATGGCTATGGCTTATATAACTTATATCTATAGTATCGGTTTTCGGTTCAGTTCGGTTAACCGAGCATTTATATCCAAACCGAACCGAAAACTGAAAGTTTAAGAAAATGCAAACTGAAAACCGAACCAAAATTTCAGTTTTGGTTTTCAAACCGAAATTTCAGTTTCGGTCGGTTAACCAATTTTTGTGCACCCCTACAAGAGCCGTCACCCCACAGACTAAGACCCGATTCAGAGCGTCGAGCCTGAAACTGCAGCAAAGGCCTAACAATGCCCAACCCCCCAAACCCGCAGTCTTAATAGACTGACCACCCACAGTCCAGCACACCTATGACAACCCCGACTATCCACCCCACTCCTACTGAAAGCCGAGATCCGACAAACCTGGAGCCACCAACCAACATCCCCGACGGAGACATCGCCCAACCCCAGGAGCAATGGAGAGCCAAGGGTGTCGAGCACCAATCACCGAACCCGAACCCCTCGCCACCACCAACAGATCTGGCCAATGGACCCCGAACCTGACAACCCAAACCCGCAGGAGCCCTCCCCCAACACCAGAGAGAGAGAATAGGAAGGAAAGAAACGAAATTAACTTCATCCCGGACCACCGGCCGATGCCTAGTCGGAGAGGAACCCCCTCCCCCCAACCCAACCGACACTTCGACACCACCACAGACCGAGTAGCAACCAGGGAAAATGGCGAAACCTACCATGGCCGTGAGGTCCTCGAAGCGTTGGCCGGCCAAGAGGTGGCACTAGCCGGCGATGATGGCGGCACGGCGGCGCGTTAAGCCCCCGCTGAAGAGGAGGCGAAGAGGTTAGATCTGATTTTTTGCTTTTTTAGAGAGAGAAGGTTAGAGAGATACTGCTTTTTTGATATTTTCATACAATAAAATAACGAACAAATAGAAAATGCTACAGTCCCGTTACGGAACTATTCCGTCGGGATTTGTAACCGTTAGATCATCATATAACCGTTGGGGATAGTTGATCAACGGAATGATTCCGAAACGGGACAACCAGTGATCTCGTCAGAGATGGCGTCATGATGTAATTACATGCCAAATTGAGAAAATTAAATATATTAATATTTACATAATGAGAAAACTAAAATAATTTATAATTTTATTATAAAATTATTTATAATTAATATACAACAATAATAAATAGCTACCGAAGTTATATTATTTTAAGATGGCACTGATATTTGTACATTAAATTTGTCAAAAATGATATTTGTTGATTATATTTGTAAAATAACATACGTCTAAAACAAATTCTCCGTTATTTTATTTGTCACAATACAATAAGAATTAGTAATAAGCAAGCTTATTGAAACAAATAATAATAATAATAATAATAATAATAATAATAATAATAATAATAATAATAATAATAATAATAATAATAATAATTTGTGGCATTCTCCTTTCTCCTTCTTCTTCTTTTTTACAGATTTGATAATAAACTAGTTGTAACCCGTGCATTTGCACGGAAAACTATATGATTAAGAAAAAATAATAATAAATCTAAACAATAGTAAAAATCATAACATTACTATTGAAAGAAAACGTTTTAAGAAAGAAAATCTAAATATTATCAAACACTCTTTGTATGCAACGTCGTGGATTTTTTATCGTTAGAATATCCATCACCACAAATCATTATATTTCATACCACTTCGACTTGTAACTATGAAAAGTGCCACGTAAAATTATCCATGGCTAAATACATGGCTCTTCAGTGGTAAGTCGATGTGCGGCAAAGACTGCCCTTGACTCTTATTGATTGTCATAATATAGGAAATCATGTGCGGGAACTGCATGCACTGAAACTTCAAATGGACCCTTAAATCGAATGGTATGATTGTGAGCCTATGAATAAGAATAAGAACCTTATTACCAGCTCTGGCGCCGGTTAAAATTCTACATTCGAGGACATGACTACTGAGCTTAGTAATAACCAATCGAGCACCTTTTGATCTCAAAATCGAACAACAAAAATATATCAATCGAATTTGTATACGAATCAAAGAAAATATAAATGATAGATAGAATTTTATGAAAACTGTTGCACACATGGAGCGATCCATGATTCTCAGCAACATCACTGGAGTGACGACCTTCAAGTACAATTAATGATTCGGAAGCCCCAAGCACTTAATCCCATTAAGAAATTCAGGAGTATGAAGATCGTGAAGATAGTCAAAATCCAGCATCTGAATTGCAAGTGGTGTCCTAACTTAAATAGGTCATTCCCTTGGAGGAGTTCAGTGGTCTCATGTATTCGTTAACGGACTCAACGACATCAAGTGTCGGAGCGAGTATGGCTCTTTCCTTGAAATATCTAAGATCGTCTCCAAACTCCTGAACATATTCTGATTTGAAAAGAATATTGGGGAATATCAATATCGGCACAGTCATCATTCGATCCACCGATTATACAATCACCAATGCTTGCAAGCCACTCCGAGAAGCGCCTCGGCTTACCGTAGTCGTCACCCCCATCAAGGCTTTGAAACCTCATATTCCAAGTAAGCCTCAAAACGATACAATCCCGCCACAAATTGGCAATTGA